AGGTTCCTTACAACAATTATAAAGCGGAATTTCGATCCAGGGGGGTCGATTTTCATCTTCCCATAGTACCTTAAGGTGGAATGATCCGCATCTAAGCACCTGTAATTCACCTCTAAATGGGCACTGCGTGACTTAGGCAGGGATGCCTAAGTCCCCAAGACCCCAGGGGGGTCGATTTTCATCTTCCCATAGTACCTTATGTGTGGTAATGATCTGGGCTCGACCGTCTCAGAATTCAATGAAATTCGAGGGGCCAAGAAAAGTGAGATTTAACTTGATAGGATGGGGGGTTGGTGGTTGAGGGCACAAAATGGCTCCCAACCTCCCAAATGCTAAATTCCTAACTACACGGTTGTTACATCACCACCCTATTTCGTTTGGCTAAAACTTTTCAAGAGACAGTTGGATGCAGCTGATACTTGACAGAGAAGTTCATGAGTCAGAGGATTTTGTACATCTGCAAGATGGAGCTGTATGCCGATAGAGGGCGTTGCTTTTAATCGGAGGGCCCTCAATCTTCGTGCTACGGCACTTTTTAGGTAGGAAAAAAAAACGGCAGGTTTTTTTTTTAGCCTTTAAACCATACATAAGCCTCTCTGCCAAATATCCGTTGTATCTGAGAGCCCTTTCAAAAGAGTTGGTCTAGAAGCCAATTTAAAAAGTATGAATCTAGTCCAAATCGGTTTGAGGCCAAAATTAGGGAAACTACTCTTATTGACTTTTGAGATGATGGAGAATACACCATTACTGCATTTGAGGTGTAACGATCCACCTGTATACTTTGTAACAGGACAATGCACAGCTCAAATAATTTTTCAGAGAAAAACCCAGATAATCTTCTCAACACCTTGTCCAATATCAAGAGTTTATGAATCTTGTTATTTTTGCTCGAATATATTAATCTTACTTCTCTCATAGGAAATGATGGAGCGTTTATTTTGAATCACCCTATATATACGTACGCTCATCGTGCAGCATGCATGTACTTTCCAATAAAATTCAACAACCCGATGCGCATTTGGATTCATGGCATGTCATTCGATCTTCATAAACCCGAACCAGATTACAGAGTGAAAAATTCAATAGGTATCGCCTGCTCAAAGCAACACCCGAGTGAGTCAATATGTGTAATTATTTTTCTCTAGTGGGTCTTCAGCTATGTAGATCCTATTTGGAAATTCAATATCCTCAAATGGTTGGGGTGAAGTAACCTGGGGAGGTTAAGGAAAACAAGGAGGTGGGCGTTCAGAGGTTCACATCACAGCGCAATTGTGTTTCAAGTGTTTTTATTGTCAAAATTAAAGGCACAATTTCAATTTCTCAATGTGTAACCAATCACAAGGAATAAAATTAATTTAGAAACGAAAAAGAATGAGAAAATGACAAATCTCAACACACACATAAAAGAAAGAATCGACATGAAGCTGGAAATTTCCAAAAAGCATGGGTTCTTAAAAGTAAATTTCTAGAATAATAACCAAATACTTGACAGGCAACTGGACTCCTTCCCTATACATGCTAAGCATGACTAGTAACTAGGCCAAGGGCCTGAACACTTTGGCAAGTAGACAAAATTGAGAAAAGAACTTCTGATGACATAGTCCATATCTGGTCCCAATGACATATCCAGGCATCAAAATTCCAACAAGTAAGAGGATGTCTTGCATCACTTACATGCTGAAGGCTTTGCCAGACAGTATTAATAACAGCCACTGAATTCTGTCCTGGGGAGAGCTGTATCATCACAATTCCCAAAAAGGAGTAGTTAAAAAAGTTTCTTTTTCTTGACATCCTGAGTGTGGAACTGTGGCTAAGTTCCTTCTCCATCAGAGGAGGCACTTTCCCATATGGGAATATGCCCCATAAGGGCACTTTCAAGGATGAAGTGCCCTTATGGGGCATATTAGAATCCTGTAGTTACATATTGGAGCCTGGCATATGTTGGGACTAGTGCATATGCATCAATTCATTTGAGAAGGAGACATCTCATGATACATTTCAAGATATCTTATACTCATCAAAATCAAAGAAAAACAGGCTCAGCAACAATTTATGTGCCCTAACCAGTGGGAAGATTGTTTTTTGTTGAGTATTCATTCACATATCTAACAACCCCCCCTGGTGGAGAGAATTCAGTGGCTATACTTTACTGAAAGACTTCTACGTACAGTAACAGGTGCTACACACACCAAATAACAAAAGCCACTATAAAACTACAGTCTCCACTAATGCACAATGCTACTTTGCAAAAATGTTCTCATAACTTCAGCTTTAATGACAGGGACAGCATTGAAAGCTGCATAATTATAAAATTCAAGAATCTTACGCACAGAACCAGTACTAAGACAATGGAATGCACCTCTTTTGGCTACAACTTTGCAAGTTTATCAGCAGGGTCCCCTATAGGGAGAAACTGTGATATGCGTAGGTGTGTGCGCTGAGAGAACAATAATAAGCTGATGTCACATTATTCTCAGAATGCCATTTACAGACTTAGAGTTGAACCTTATTGTTCATCACTTATCATACCATCATGGATAGTGTACATAGCTACAATTCAAATATGATGTTATGTCAAGAAATTTTTGTCTGAATGCACCATTGGACAGAGATGAAAGAAGGCTTTTAAGGAATCACAGTCTAAGTCACCGTATGAGAGATACATCAAGGATGCAGAATGTGGCCCGGCATGTTGGACAAGGGGCTTTGGATGCGAGCCACGTCTCTGGACGATGTTTGTCTTGTCGAGATGCAAACCACTTCCCCATGCAAGATAGGCACCACATGGGTCGACAGAAGCATCGCATGCAGGGTGGCCCTCGCCCCTCTCTCTCTGCATCTCCAACCCCATCCTCTATGCATCGGCGGACCAACATTGTGTCTGCCTGCACTTGCATACAACCTATGCAGTTCTCTCGTTCCTACATGCACACAAAACCAAAGTTCACTGAAAAATTGGACAGATGCTAAAAAATTTTCCTTGAGCCCCTACAATCTGTATCTCTTTTGGAAAGACATAACTGAGTCATTGCTTTTTGCTATGTACTGACAGATAGTTTCTATACTCTGTCACCTTCCTACAGGGGAGAAAATTGAAAAGTTTGGCTTTCCAATGTAAAGCAGATATCTGAATGTGACATAAAGCAACTTACTCCTTCATAATGGACAGGTGGATTCAACCGAACTTGGGATTCAAAAGCTGTGACAAAGCGATCACTCAATGTCTGTCGAATCACAACATTGCGTACATTCAGAGGAGATCTCCGCAGCTTTCCCCTTAAATCTGCATACTCTGTTGATCTCACCCTATTAAAGTAGAATTCATTATAAATAGTCTGCTAAAACAGGATATTCCTCAGTGAAAGAGGAGCAAGTCTGATGCCTAAAACAAACATGCCTGATGACAAAGGCCTTGACACCATGCCGCCCACTGCGGACTGTGAGGGAAAGGAACTGGGCCCCTGATGGTTCATCTCGAGTCAGGTCGAATTCTTCACTCTTGTCCAAGGTTAGAAGGGCATCATCTTGACTTGCCATCTGCATTGTGTACTGAGTTATCTGGATGATCCAGCTGTCTGTCACTATTGCACGCCGAATGTGATTCAAACGTGTAGAAAACTTATCAAATCTGCAAATCATTCAAGAAATGGTTATACTCTACCTTGAAATGCACACCAATACCCAGAATGGACAAGAACAAAGCTCACCTCCGAAACTCAGTGTTGATCTCTGAGATGACTGCAGAGAGGGACTTTTGAGGAGTGAGAAAGTGATGGAGATTTTGGAGGATGTGATGATGCGAAAAACCATTTGCAGATACCCAGAGGAACCAGAAGATTCCTGCCACAGCCAAACCAACACTGACTGAGAAGCCCAGCTGAAGCACTGCAGTGCTTTTGAACACTGATGAGAACTCAGGAACCCAAAGCCACACAGTCAAGAAGTAACCTGGAAAAAGGCCACAAATGAGCAGTTTCACTTCTTCCTCTCATAGGCCTATCATGACCAAGGTCTCATGATACCCCATGTAAAGAAAAGTGACATGGCATAATGTAACAATTGAAAAAAGCAGCACTTCCCTGTGCTTCTCAAGGGTGAATGGTTCTTCCTATTTCACTACTCAAAATTTCATGCCACAATTATAGCAATTTGTAAATCATAGTAAAGCTTTCCTCATCATTACTTTGATTCAGCAAGCAAACAATACATCATCAGTTACTAATTGCTATATTGTATTTAGATAATCAGCAATCACCAGACACTAAGCATAACAGCCTTGCAAGTAACCAGCATTTACCTTCAGTTTGCCTTTACCCAAGAACCCATCACTTTCTTTCCTTTTTTGATCACTCACAGAAACCCACAGTGCACAATGTCATCAGTTACATCATAGTAAGAAAGGTGTAATTTTCAAATCCAATCTGACAAATTCCAAAAAAGTCTTATGCTCACACTGATTAATGGGAAACATTGTGGCAGCCAAATTAAGGTAAGGTGGCATTATTTAAAATATTAGAGTTTACTTTTATAAACCCCCTACAAAGAGTCAGGTCTCTGAGTGGAGAAGCTCTGCTGTGGTTCAGAATAAACCCTGATTAGGCCATATGAGGGCATTTTTGCTGGGCTTGGTATGACAGATTGAAGTCAAAAGGTTGGCTTAGTACTACCCAGTAATAGTATGACCTTCAGGAAGATGATGGGCCCAAATATCCTTAACAGCTACATTGCAAAAAAAATTAATTAATAAAAATAAAATGTTTTTCCACTATGCAGTTTTGCCAGGGCTACAACACTTGCACGTCTAACAATTGATGTGCATCCCCTTCTGATCAGCCAGCACTATCTAGATAACCTTGTCAATGTAAAATCCCATCAGGCTTTGACAGATGATGTGGAATTAATTTATTTTTTATGGATGAGAGCCGTTTCCTCTTGTGGGAAAACTGTAGGTAGGTGCAAAGGCAACCAAATGAGGCCTATATCACCACATGTTTTAAACAAACTGTCATATTTGAAGGAGGGGTAATGGCAATTCCAGGGTGCATACTAATGCAACAAACTGGGTTTTTCCAAGTGATAGCATTACCTTGCAAGATTACTCCTGATTCCTCTTTTTGTTGTGAGAGTTGTGCAGTTGAACAGTTAAAGCTTGAAATTCGATTGAAAGAATTAACTCACCCACTGGTAAGAACACATGACTAAGTACATTGGCAGATGTCCTTTTGACATGGTAGGCCACAAAGTCAAAATCCTGGGAACCCAACCAAGAGGAAAGGAGGTAATCTAGGGTAGCTCCAGATGCGATGAATTCATCCGGGGGGAAGACAATACAAAGGCAAAATAGAGCATATGCAAGGGTAACGTAGGTCAGCATCCTCAAACCTTAGATATGGTTTCCATGTCATAATAGAGATGCTATGCCCTTTCAATGACTGAGAGTCTCTGATGAAACTGAGGACTCTCCAGAGATAGCTCCTGTAAAGTGACATTATATGCAAATCAAATAAATTTGAATTTCATAGCATCTAGCCCATTGCTTTTTATTACCAGTAGCTTGAATTTAAGCTCAATCAAGGGAAGAATACAGCCAAAAATATGGCATTGCATTGGTAACTTGCCAAGCACTTCCCGATTTCCACAGTCCAACGTCTACATTCAACAGAAAATGGTGTATTCCTTGCACACACATAATGAACTCAAATCACATACATGTTTTATTGTTGTACTTTACAACCTCTGCAAAAGGAAGGTCGAAGGGCCTCAGCCATACACCATCAGAAGGACAGACAAGAAGAGAGGACAAAAAACAACAGTGGAAAAGCGAAAATCCACACACCATCTCCCACATGGACCAATAAATTAATTCATCCTAAAAGTATGAACAAGCTTACTTTTTCTTGCATATGCAATACCACTTTGGAATCAGCTTCCAGGGCACCTAGTCCCACATCCACAATGTGTCAAAAAAGACAATAATAAAAAATATCTATACTGTTCAATCATTCACTGGAAAAAATGGGATTCATAAAACAATGAACAAAAAACCTTCATAAATTAAAAAAGGAGGGAACAGTAGGAAGGACTAGCCTACAAAAAACACTGCCTAGAGTCTGCAAATCTTCCATTCACTCATCCTCTCACTCTCTATTTTTGCTGCTCCTTTTTCATTATTTTTTTTTCTCATTTTGGGAGTCTGTGGGCATACATTACAGAATTAGCCTATATGTGATATCTGTGTGCTCTCTCTATTTCTTCCTCTCACATGCAGGAGCTAGAGTCTTGCCAATTGAGCCCGAAGGCAGGGGTCTTCATGCCATGCAGCTTGAGGATGTGGCGCTTGAGTATTGACTGCTGAGTGTAGGCTTTCTTGCAGATCTCACACTGAAAGGGTCGTTCTCCCGTGTGGGTTCTCCCATGATTGGTCGCTTTCATTCGGTCTGGTGTCTTGTACGGACAGAGGGAGCAGAAGTAGACACGACCTCCACTCTCCAGCTTCCCTCTCCATATCACATTGTTGATCCTCTCCAGTGGATACTGCAACACATCACAATAACAGGGGATTCTGGATAAGTGTACCAGTGGCATGTGTGTAAATGTGAGCACATCTGCCTTTTATGGTCTGACAGCAGCCATTATCAATGCTTATTGATAAAAATGTCTAAGTCACCAATCTCAGGTTCAAAATGCCAATCGATGTTCAATTTAAACCTCTGACATAACACTTCTAAGCGTGAAACTTTTTCTTCTACATATGTTTCAATGCTGGGGGACTAGAGACATTCCAGTACCAGTATGCATTCTCCAAGAGTGAGCTTTGCCCAAATGAGAAAAAAGCCTGTTCAGGCAAAACTCACAAGTTGCGAAATGTCAGGTGGCATATGTTTTGGGTGAGGAGACGCTGGTCCTCCTTCCTGAGTGCTCTGGCTAGAGTGCGAGGATCCAGATGAGGATGACTGCTGGTGTCTCCCTTGTGTTCCCTGGCCATTCCCAGTTTCATGTCCATCCTGAGCCAGAGAACTCCCAGGCAAGGCAAACACTCCTTTTGTGATCCCCGATTCATCTTGGATCTGATAATCATTCAAGTGTGACTCACTCAAATAGATCATATGAACAGCAAATCCACTCAAGTCATGCAAGAAGCACACTACAGATATGGAATTATAAGGAGGGAAAAAACTTAGATGAGATCCTGCCAGCCATACCTCAACATGTGACTTCTCCAACTCAGACTTGACGTCAGATTCCAAAAGATGTGTCCCTTCTTCCATGTCCCGCAGGAATTTCTGATCAGCAACTTCACATGCTGTTGCCAATTGTGTGTGGCCTGCTGCCTCACTGACTGCTGCAGCAGCAGCAGCAGCAGCTGCCTCCACATCTACAGAAGTTGGTGTGGGCACGGCACTACGTGGAGTGGTGACCGGTGTTCCTGGATTCCCCGAAGATTGTGCCTTATCCTGGGGGGTTGTCGGCATTGTACCAGCAGCCTGAGCTGGCAAGGCTGCAGCTTGGTGATGGACCTCATGAGGGGTATGCTGCTGATGATGTGGGTGATGGGTTACATAAGCCTGCGGAGCAGTCAGTGGATGAGAGAGGAATTGTGTTCCAGCAAGTCCTTTGATCTGCAGGCTCTCAGCCAACTGGATGAATTCATGCAGCCGTTCACTCGGCACATCTACTTCTCCATTGTACATATACTGTATCACCAAACGCAGAAGTTCCACACGTGTCTCAAAGAAATGGATGATAGGGAAATAGGTGCCAGTGCTACGGAGAATTTTATCAAAATGGGTGCTGCAGGCCGAAAGAACTAGTTTATGGGCCTTGATGTAGTGTCCGTCACAAGAGAGTACAACGTCTGTGTAGGTCTCATGAAGACGGAGATCCTGGAAACTACGCAGCACCTCAGAGGTGTGCGAGTTCCACTTGAGATTGAAGTTCTGTCCTTCCATGGTAGGCAATTGATTACTCCAAAGGAGTCGGCATCCACTCATGGAGCAAATACACCACTCTGATTCTTCTTTCCTTCTTCTTCTGTACAACTTTTTCAGTATCACTCAAACTATTACACGTTTCACTGCTAGGGGACTTCAGGAACATATTCCCAAATGCAAAAATCTGAAATAAAAAGGTAGTATGACCACAATAGTAAGCTACAATCAACTTAGGAAGACAAAATTCATTGTGCATGCTTCACAATTCATATCGCAAGCATTCACAACACCTGGCACCTTACTACTCCACAAAAAAAAAAAGACTTGGATAATTAAAAAATAAAGAGCACCAGGAAAAACTTCTTGCATTCTTCAAGCAGAAGATATTTTAAACATAAAAAAAGAAAGCCTATTCAAGTACTTTTTTTAACTTCAAATTCCAATTTGACATAAGTCAGAATAAAATTTAAATTAGCCACTCATGGCATCAAAACAGAATATGAATTTAAATTTTAATAGAACTATTCCCTTCTCCCACACCATAGCCAAGCCTGGAGATGACTGAGGCACTTTTAATGGATTGGGGGGGAAAAAAGCAGTTACAAATTCAAAAACTCAAGTAAAAAGCAAGAACCCAGAAAAGATAATAGATTAGGCCCCAGGAAAGTTTTGCCTTCCCACTAGCCAGACATGTGTTGAAATATATAAGTTGAAAAAATGACCTGAACCAGCTACTGAAAAAAAAAATTATCCCACCATATGAATTGAAAGGGCTTCAATTTATATGGATGGGATAATTTTTTTGTTGGTGCCCCACCAGAACAGTTATAAATGGGGTGAAAATAAAACTTAACTCAATTTTTCTTGGTTCAATCCCTTGCAAGTAACTAAAAGTACTACAGGGGTTAATGAAGGGGAATAAAGTTCCCTGAATATATCACTGCTAGTAGAATACCATTTAAGGTATCAATTAGGAAATTTAGTACAAAAGGAATGAAGACAAATATCCCTACTTCAATCCCCACAGCTGAAGGGGGAAGCTTGCCATTGAAACAAGCCAAGTATTGGAAAGACAATTTCATCATCCAAAAACTCATGGTTGATCCTCTGACAACATGTTGTATTTATTTCCAATAGCCCAATGGCATTAGCAACAAAAGACAGGTTTAAGAACCCTTCCTCCATCATCACTTATGCAAAGAACTTTTCATGACAATACAATTCATCATGGGAACAACAGCCGTGGTTCAATCACATCTTGAGGAGTCCATTTGCAGTGCAATCTCCTCTCTTCATCCTTCAAACCAGGTTCTAACATAGGATGTAAACACTTGGAATTAAGTGACAAGTAGAACCACACAATAGAATACTCAATTGCAAAAAATCACTCACCCAGAAGCATCAGCTGAACCTCTCTAGTCTCAGGCCTGAAAGTTATCACACGAGCAGTCCTGTAGTCAGTAATCTCAGGACAGTAATGCTCATCAAGGTTCCACATCTACAAGAAGAAACAACTATTCTCAATGTGTTTTCCTGAAGATCTCTAGAATCAAAGGGATAGAAGGTACTGACCTTGAAGACAATGATATCATTCTCCTTTGGAGGTCCAGTCATCAAAGGGTAATCCTCATATTTCTTGCCAGGTCCTGTCTCAGCATGGGATACCATTTCAAGCTGATTACAATCTGGCATTCCTGGCTGGATGCCTCCTTGCGTTGCAAACCCATTACAAAGGTTTATGACCTGGTCAAAAGAAAGATGATCTTCCACTCGAGCATCTGCAGCAGCAGGGACATCTTTGGTGCAGACATTTGTGGGTGCAGTTTCCTCATTTGTCAAGATGAAGGAAACATTTGTTTGGGGTTCTTTAAGCTGAGCTCCTTTGCTCATTTCTCTTGGACCTTTATGAGGTTCAGTTGGCTTGGGAATACGAATGACGCGAGGGAGGAGCTTAAGCGCCACATGTTGAGACCTGACTTCAGGCTTGCTCTCTATCTGATCTTGGGTGGCACTAGGATTTTCTATTCTGCTCATTGTCTGATCTTCATATTGCATGGCACTATGTGTTCTACCTTGCACAGAATTCCTCACAAATTCTCCTCCACTGTCACGTTCCTTTTCAACTTCCATCTCCTCACCATCATCATCATCAGTGCCATCGAAGTGGATGTGCTGACGAGGTGTGGAGGCCACAACCAACTGATTCCAGCTTACACGTTTCCGCTTCTTCAATTTTGCCCATTCCTTCCTTTCTGCAATGTCACTTTGAGATTTTTCTTTGGATGGATGGTCTTCCTGCTCAACAGGCTCTTCTTTTCCTCTCCGGCTCCTCTTCCTACGTCGGTGCCGCCTCTTCAATTGTTCTTCTGAGCAGGGAGCATTTAATTCTTGATCATGATCATCATTCTTCTTAGGAAGTTCTTCAACTGACATTGACTCATCCTCCGGTACATCTGTATTTAAAATTTCTCTCTTGGATGTTGCAGGAGAAAGGACAATTGTGGGCTCTTGGAATTGGTCTGTTTTTTCCTCACTTTCCAATTCTGGATTTGGTTCTTGTACCTCTTTTTCTCTTTTTTCCCTCTTCTTCTTCTTCTTTGTCTTCTTCACCAAACTTTCTTCATCTTCCAAGATGAGACAGGAGGAAGTAGCAGTTTCAGAGCGAATCTCTTGGTCAACTTGGGTAACGAGTCCTCTCACAAGTAGACTACGACCCAGGTTGGCAAAGTCATTGAAGAGATGAGTTGGCACATCAACTTTCCCCTGGTAGATATATTCAACCAGCAGCTGAAGGAGATCTGGAGCAACTCCAGTGAGATGAATCATAGGGTAAGCAGAGCCCCCACTATGAAAAAGACTATCAAAGTGAGGACTTGATGCAGAAAGGATGACTTTGTGGACCTTGATATGAAACCCCCCATCACATGAGAGAGTGGCATCAGCATAGTTACTTGAATTCTTCAATTGTTCAAAACACTTGGCAAGGTCCGATGGAAATGTTCTCCATCGCACATGATGTGCCTGATCACTGATCATATTATTTAAAAGCAATCAGCACCTGAAAACTACCAAGATATATAAATCTCATGCAGCTGAGACAATACAGCAACTCATTCAAAATTGCTTTACATAAAAATATTTGAATCATACACCACTACTGAATAAGTCTTGATATGAAAGAAATAATGTTAAAAATGACAGCTGGATTTTGAAATCTACAAATCTAGGTCTACTGCAACTCATCATGACTGCATCTATACTCATAGTAACAGCTAAAGTTGTGGAGTAACCTCAGCATAAGAAAATTAGGTGGGTACCAAGCCTTTTGGTTATTCAGGAACACTATTCATGGAGTCCCAAAGAAGGTTCAGAAGAAGATGAATGTTTAACACTCTCATGACTTCTATTTCTCTTTTTCTGAGACAAATTCATAACTTTATTTAATGTGATAGGGTTTCCATTGAATTACATAACAACTCCATAGATCTTTTAAAATAATCAGTGCATGTTGCATAATGTTTAATAGAGTCTCTTGCCTTCTCATCACATGAAGGGTACAAAAACTTATGCAACAAGTGTCATTTTGCACAGGGTGAAAAGTATTTTGCTACAAGAGCCTAGCTTTTCCCTCAGCATACAAACCTCACTGAGAAACATTGTATATGATCCTTTGGGTGAAATCCTTACTATGAAAGCCTTTTTTCCATATTAATACAACTACACGAAAAAATACAGAGTCATATAAACAGGTCCTAACTAGCACAAAATGTTGCTAGTACGCCTTCTTTCCAACAAGCATTAGCACTAACATTGCATTATGGCCAACATTTGGTCCAGAGAAGTTTGTTAGTCATGTTCACAGGTATCACTCTTCATATCTGCCATACTGGGCAGAACTTGTTGCCAAACAAGCCACAGAGTGAAGTAGAGCTAGTATGGTTTAAATGAAAAGGGTTGGTGATGCTAAGAATGAGCTCAGAGATAGTTATTTAAAGTAAAGTGTAGAACTCTTATTCTGATTAATTGGTATCCAGTAGCATGAATACAATAATAAAGGTGCAATCACATTACAATATGGGAATTCAATGAGTTTCACCTCCCTAAGCAAGAGGAGACTCACAAATGGAAATCACAGTAATGAATGAGGGACTTAGGCTTCATGAAGAATGCGATTGAATTCATTGTAGGAGGACTCCAAATCAAACAAGAGTTGCCTTGCTTGAGTTTCACTCAGTTCATCTGAGGCAGACATCTTACTCATAGTGCTCAACCACTCTTGAACCTTGTTTCGTCCGATGTAATCACCAGGAAGAATTGAAAGCCTGGATATTGTCTCTGCCAACTCCTTCAAATCTGGTTGCAATTCATCATTGGCAAGCTGAGACAGGCGAAGCTTGTCCATGATTGTGATGAACAACTATGAAGAGAAAGTATAAATACTTAGAAATGGTGTGACTGTTCAAAAATTTAAAGTTATGCAGGGTGAGCCAAAAAAAAACAAAGCTGTCATTTTTGGTGAGTCATCAATCTCTTTGTAGGCTGCCAATTTTAACTAAAATAGGTAGACTCATAGGTTGATACAATTGGAGTTTGTAAACCAAATTTCAGCTTTTTGGCTCTAAAATTATAAGAGCTGTAATTATTTTCTGATGACCGCTAACAAAATGTGCTGTCAAAAATTTCAGCATGAACTTGAGGCTGGGAAGAAAGGGAGGTCAAAATTCAGGAACTTCCATCCCTGCATGATGCTACAAAAGGAGATTGGGAGGCATGGCCTCAAAGGTTTCTTGACTGAGCCATTGATCTGTCATGTTCCAGACTAGAGGCTAGCGTTCAATAGAATGGAGGACACATTGAGCACCTTTTCATCTGAAATGAACGTCTCTAAACCAAATTGTGGGCTTTCTTGTTTGGCATTTGTGCAATTGTTTTTGTTCTGTTTGTTTGCTTGTTTATTTTGGTCAGTTGTGAAAGGTTTTAAGCTGAAAGAAAAAATGAACACCTACTTTTTGGTGATGAAATGTAAATTAAATGCCAATCCCAGAGTTTTTGGAATTTTTATTTGAAACTTAGCACACAAACCCTAATTGAGTCACCCTATGTGTCTACCAAATTTAATCAAAATTGGCAACCTACAATCAGATTGACAACTAACCAAAAATGATAGCTTTGTTTTTTTTTTGGTCCACCCTGTACATCCTGAATACTCACAGACACTATATCTGCAATACATTTGGAAGTGTTCCCCTTATCATCTTTGATGGTGATTGGCCTGTCTTCTTTAATTCTTTCCAGGGCAGCAGGGCAGTCCAGCTAAAGAATATCCAGTTTGAAAGGTGAGCACTTTTCATTGAAGTGATAGAATGCAGGTTTAAATAAATGAGACAGTAGAGGCACCAAACAAGTTCATGACTGCAAGAGACATGGTGATCATATATGAATGTCTGGTAAATGAGTGATAAGAAGACCAATATTTTGAAAATTCACTCTGGGAAACTTGTTTACTTATCCTTATACAACTATAAATATATGTTTATACAATAACTTGATATTCTTATGAACTAGATTAGGAGAATGACTCCCCTTACATTTTATGGCACATTCTGACCTATCAGGACTGTTTTGTTTAATCCCCTTTGATGCATCAAAACTTAGTATCTTGCATTATCTTTGACTCACTTTAAATTTCTTGACGAATGACTCAATAGTAGCAAATTCCTCTCCCTGGACTTGCTTGAATGCAGCCTTAACTTGAACCAAGAGCTTTGAACAGGCAGCAGTGTACTCCTTAGCAGTGACTGCATCTCTGATGTATGCTTTCTCCAGGCACTGCAATGTGTTCACCACAGCGTAGAGGTCAGCCATGTTGTCATACCTAAGTTCCAACATTTAAAGAAAATAGAACCATTCACAAATAAATCAATATCATTGGCTAAGTTGAAAATTGTTCAAGTTGTGAAAGCAATGGGACTATACTGTTATTTTTCATATCCTCTTCCTAGTTTCCAAACATTGACATGTGATGAAATTAAACCTGAAAGATAACTCAAGAAGAAATAAATGAGTAGTGACTAAAGAAGCTCTTGGTCAAGCTTTTAATTTCTTTTAAGCTCCTCTACATGAAGGAGGTTCTTTGGTCATGTTTGGTTCAGCAAATATCCATCAGACTAACAATCTTCCATAACCAGTCAATCAAAGATAATGGTTTAGGTAGAGGAAAAAGGATGACATGAGAGTGAACATTTAAAAAAAAAATCATGTTCCAATATTTAAAAATTTCCATCTGACACATTGTTTGCATGCTTTGGGCAATAAAATTTCCTCAAAACCACATTTAATGACCCTAAGGACCTAATGAAGTCACCATTATGACAAGTAAAAACAGATTAAAGATAAGTATTTTTCTGACATGTGACAAATGATTTTTAAAAAAAGTCAAAATCATATCTGGACAAAAGCCTACTAGATGAATCTCTTTGCAGTTTTAATATCCAACCTCCTGATTAATGCACTGAGGACAGGAGACACAAATTTACATTTTCACGTAGGATGTAGTTTCACACCATCTGATTCTTTCTGTGTACTATTTAGTCCTGAGATGTGCTTGTGTGAATTGTAGACATTCTGATGTTTCTTTTATTAAAATTTTTTACTGTCAGCTTATTGCTTTATTTCTGGAAATCTATGTCATGTGTAGGGTGCCAGTCCTAAATTTGTTTTAAAATGAAGCATGAATAATAATAAAAACTGTTCTTTACAAGGTCATTTTGATCCTGAAAGAAAAAAGCACCCTTCACAGCACAAGACAAGCTTAACATCTCAGTAAAAAAAATATCCTAATGCAGAGGAACATAAATACAAGAAAGATAGTCACATGACTTCCTTCCACAGACCATCTCATTAATGACCTATTATCACTTCCTTAGATTTGCTTAGCTTCCCCTGCTTTAAATTCATCTGTTTATAACTGAAAGATGAATACCTCTTGTGTAAGCCAATGAAAGTGTCTAGTCACTCTTTGGAATCAATTAGATCTATGAAGCAACATTCAGATTAAATTATAATAAGAGTGATGCTTTCATAGTTAAGCAGTTGGCAGATATACTTTCCATATTGGACACTAGGTCCTATCCAAACCATTACTTAAGGCACAGGTAGTACAACCTTGCAAGTGCAACCAATTTCTTTCTTTTTTTCTCATCTGTAACTATGCACACGGATGCATTTTTTTCTAGCACTTAAACTACTGGAGCAGTCAATTTGATCTCTGTGTTAAAAGTAGTATCAAACTATTATTCTGTAAAATTTTTGTTATTTTTTTCATTGTTATCTGGGGTGTTCAAAACATAAAAATGTCAAATGATAGGAAAAGTTAATACTGCGGCACCCCTCAATGGCCAAACAAGCAGAGTAAAGTGCTGTAAAATCAGCAAGCAGTCAAAATGACTGCCTCTGTAGTTCTAGTGATAAACATATGAACATCTGGGTTCTGGTAATTACAGGGTAAAGGGTAAAAATGTATCACTCTTTGCAGATAAACTTATAGCAGATATAGCAGATTTTCCAGAAAAATAAGAACCAGTCAAGACCATAACTTAAAGAGGAAGATAAGGGAACTTATCTTTATTAGCAAGACTCACATACCATGGTGCACTGCAAAGAACTCAATAGTTAAAAGGTTAAATACTTGAAAGTACACTTAATCACTGAGACAATGGTCAACTTACTTTTCTCTTTCTCTTGCATTTCTGTATAGTTTCACTTCTTCATACAATTCAGCTCTATCTCGATCACCTACATTGTGGAATTTAAAAAAGACACCAGTAGCATCAAACCAAAACAAGCAAAAGATGAAGATGTGTGCAAATAAACAAGATAAAAGACACACATAAGGAATAATACAACAGAATATATAAAAATAACTAATGACAAGAAACTCAAAGAAATAAATGTAAACATGAGCTTTTTATTCAGTAGCTTCTGTTCAGGGGGTACCTTTCTAATTCATCCCATTCAGAGTCAAATTATCTATGATGTTTAAAGTTTCACCTGAAACTCAACATCATGCCCCCCTAGCTATACATTAGAGAATATAGAATACATATAGGGCACTTGCACAAACCTTAACCGTGGTAATTAAAATTTACATATTCAGATGATAGAATACAATTGGTAAAAATAAATAATTGCATTTTAGCAACTACATTGCTACCACATATGGTGGCCATGAATTTACTTTTCTGTTTTTATTCTGCCTGCAGCCATTTAAAAAGGTGTGAACTGTGTTGTATTGAACTTCTGCAAGAAGTATGATTCCTTCTATGTGAACATATTCCTGTGAGCCACAATAATAATAATAATGAGGTTATCCATTCTCATTCAAATGAATAGAACGATAACCAATATCCCCAATTTGCTGTTCAGCCACATCGCATTCATGCCTTGCAAAGAATGATGCCTGAACTTGTCCTCATGATTCAATCTACTCCAGGCACTTTTTTTTGCACATAAGACACCTCAGGATTAGATAAGCTGCCATTAAATATACTGGCATAATCTGAAAAAATTACAAAGGGATGCACGTCAAAATACGCACCTTTTCATATCATATCGTTCATGTTGTGTTTCACTTCAATCATACCAGGGAAGTAAAATAAGAGAAAATTCCATCATCCAAGTTTGTAAATGCTACTAGTGTACAAGTCAGCTCAGGGTCCATATAACCGTTTTGATGGACACAACATAAGTCATCTTGACTCTTGCAAGTGGACACCAAGGCTAATATAGCTGGTGTCCAAGAATACATTTTTTAGCTCTAATTCTGCCTGCAGCCATTCATACATGTGGGCTGAGCCATATTGAACCTCTGCAACAAGCATTACCCCTTCAAATGGTCCATAAATGAGTAAAGATCTTTGCCATATTCCACATCATAAAAAAAATAACTGATATCCCTAACTTACTGTTCAGCTGAATCACACTTTCTTGCCTTGTGAAGAATGTTGCCTGACCTTGCCCACCTTTGATCCACCACCCACATGGGCACTTCTTTTTTGTGAAAAATTGCACCTCAGGATTAGATAAGTTATGTTTAAATATACTGAGAAGAACCTCTGAAGAGCCCAAAAGATGTATGCCAAAATATGTGCCAAATGTACTAACAGTGAACTTATACCATTGCCATTCCAAGCCATGTTTCACTTAATTTTACATCTGGGAAGCAAAATAGGGAAAATTCCGAGATGTGCAAATTTGCAAATACTACTAGTCTATGATACAGTTCAGTATTCATGTAACCTGTTTTGGAAAAAGCAGGTGTTCACCATACCAATGAAGTCCAAACCAAAACATCCCACTCCATTGGGAGAATAAGTCCAAACAAATATCAGTTAATACAGTTCATGCTTAGGTGAATTAAACTAAGGCGACCAAAATCTCACACAATTTTTCAAGATGCATAAGAGCATCTGATTCCTAAGTGCCTTCTTGTGGCAACACGTAGGCCAGTAATGGTTATGTGTGTACCCCCTAGAGAAAGTGCATCTCCCCATTATGCCATGCTTCAAGATTGAATTTATCTGGAAACATGCAAAATCTATTGGAATTTGTTTTATTTCATCATAAACACCAACTCAAGCTAACCTAGCCAACATTTAGGTGGAACAAACTTAACCAGCACCATGAAGGCCACTATATTGACTATATGTCAACTATGCTGGGTGGATTGATATGACAACATGAGGATCAGTGATGTCTAAATCTGAATCGAAACTAACTCAACATGAATTGCAATGAAAATTGTGTGCAGGGACATAAGTGATATAAGTGGGTATTATTTACATATCAAGCATATCATGCCTATCCAACAATGGTCAATATTTAGAGCCAATGATCTTACATGGAAGGATCCCATACACATGCTGAAGTATACAATACTAAGCGGTATACATTACGAAGAATACTTTTATAACTAGGGTACACTAATATATAATACCTAATACCAGTTAAAACCATAGAGATCAATGAATATTAGCATCAGTCAATACCCACATAAGTGACCTATCAATACTACTTATGCCATTGATTCCAATAGTCACTATAATCAGAGAAGCATAGCTCCTACTCAGTTCATATCCTTATTGCCTGACCCCTCCTCTGAGAACAGCTGGTAGCCCAGTTGTTAATTACTCTACTGAACCTTCCTGATTCAATCCCTACTTGCACTACAGCTTCAGGGCCCCAAAAAAGGTAAACATGGGAGGGCTTACCCTGAATTTAAGAAAGGCATGGGCTCTCTTAATATACCTTGATTAAGGGAAGTCCTGAATATAGCCAGAGGCTCATTGTTTCACCACAGTGAACCAAGGGTACATTTCCCTCTCTACAGGTAAGACATCCAGCAGGTAAGACATGCATAGTGATCCCACATACATTTCTCACTCCTCCACAAACACACACAAGTACTAGTATCAAATGATGCTGAATACATGCATCAATACACGGAGTATTAGCAATATCTATATCAAGACACTCCTATTCATAGCAAAACCCAATTCTGTATAAATTTCCATTCCTAGGCCTTTTTCATAGGGCTTATTTATAATTCTTCCTTCTTGAACCCATCCTACTACTAACATGAATAATATTAGCATGAGATGAGCATTTTCATACATACCAACCAGGAAAGGTAAAGCTATAATGTGCTAAAGGCATGCAATACCTGAAGCTTCCCCTTCGTGTTGATTTGTCTCAAATATCTAGCTAAGATTTCGTCCACATTATTTCGTAGGCCTAACTCAGTGTTTTATTAGGGTTAGAGTTGGTTTATTCTGAGTTAAGTCCATCATATACCTCCGCCTAGTCTTAGGCAATCCTAGGCCAAGGTCTACCGTTAGACCTTGGCTAGTTCACCTTGCTGTGCTAAACTATTCAGTTACTGATTCTACTTACTGGGGGGCGAAATGACTGAAGTCTGTGCAAGACCCGCGAAGAGAGACATCCTACTGGTGCCGATGAAGTCCAGCCTATACACCAACGCTAGGACGCCAAGGCGACGTTTGAGAATTCACCTAAAGCTCTAACACAATGTGAAACTCCCGAGATCTGCAGGAATCTTTCTGGGATACAAAGATGAGAAATCTGATGTAGCTATTGCAGGACCTGAGCCGTTTATTACTCGGAGAAACAACGAGAATTTCACATGAGAGACGCCATCTTGCATAGCATCGCTCTGGTCCTGGGGCATACTCGATCCCTGTACATCTCCGCCACATTTTCCCATAAAATTTCTCCAAAGTTCACATTCATTCATAGAATAGAGATGCTCTCTAAATGAATTCAAGTATATGTGGATAGGTTCAGTATGTCCATTCATTTCTTTTGCGTTGCCGAGACGTAGTAGGAAGTGCGTCGCGGGGACCGTGATGAACAATACTTTCGCCGCCAAAAGCGCCTGAGGGCGATTAAGGAAAATCCTGCTATAGTTCATCCGAAAATGCAATAAGAGAGATGGCGCTAGTGTATATATAGCTGCTTTTTCAAAAACGCCACCTCATTAAATTTTTGGATGAACTATAAATCCGTGATCATGGAGTCAACTCGATCTATTTCGAGCAGCAATCGCTCTGTTAGGACCAACAGTTCGTCTTGTCTAGGTTTGACCACAACAATCCGTGTTTCAAACTCTGAATATTTGAGAAAAAAGTCAAAAGTGTCTGAAAAACTAGCTAGAAGCTTCAGAGGTTGGCAGGAAATATGTCGACACTTCGAGCGCTTTTTTATCGTACCGTATTGACCAGGAATATTATGGCTGAAACATGATGCACTTTAACTCGAAAATGTTGTATTGCCACATATTGATGGGTAGTTGTCATTGACATTAAAGCAACGTGTCAGTATTCAGATATTGACGTAGCTCTGTATGATGATTTTATTCTTTCCGGTCATGCCAGTCGCATAGAGCTCTTGTGTCGGTACCATGCTACTAACGTCATCCAAATGGAAGACCAATTGTCAGTGTTATCAAGGACGTAGCCAGGAATTATTTTCGGGCGGTGTCTTGTGAGGCTTTTTCAGGCTCATGAGATGATGAAGTGGCCGAGGAAGGTGAGTTGTTGGGAGGAATGAGGAACACCTCGAAAGCCTTCAATCCCACCCACCTCATAGTTCAAAATAGCCCCTTCTCCTCCCAAAATTGCAACTTTTTTTGCATGAAAAGAAATATGGGTCAGAGACTGACCTTGAATTAGTCATAATTTAGTGGGTGAGAGCTACTCCTGAATCATAGTTTGCCACTGGAACTCAAAAAACTGGTGGCGCTATGGAAGCAAAATGGGGGGCACTGTATTGGTTAGGAGTGATTGAATTCAAAAGGTGGAATAGGAGTATAAGTCGAAACTTCAGGAGTATATGTGAAACTTTTCACACACACCCCACTTCCATACGCCTTGTTTCATGAAATCTTGCTTCATTTCGGGGGGTGTCCAGACACCCAGGACCCCCCCCCCCCCCCCCTGCCTGGCTACGTCCCTGAATGTTATACTACTGACTAGGCATTCAGGCATTCAGAGTGTTACAGGTTTCACGTTCGACCGCCTCAGAAAGAAAGCGATTTTCCACTTCCCAGTTTTCTTAGTCGAGCCTCCGCAGACATTCCAGAGTGTAACATAATTGGTATCTGCTCCTAATGGGTCCAGAGACTTTTATTGTTTTGTTTTGAGGAGCATGTGATCCCTTGAGGTTATTCAATAACTTTGGAAGTAATGCGGCTAGGTATGTGTAAAATCGAGCATATGAAATGTGTGAAATAGTACCATGTTAATATCAAGACAGAATGTTTTACTTTTATAATAATAAGAAAAACTTATCTGATTATTCCTTACATTTCGGATTCCGGGCCGTAGTTTTCGTTAAATCCATGTATAGAAGTCACCATTCATTGGCTAAAATCTAAAATTGTAGCCTGTCAAGCGGAAAGAAACGCCCAGATCTGAAATCCATACCAATTCTGCTTGATGATGAGGACTTTAGTGCAAGCGAAGCATTATGAAGCTAGCGGAGTCTCGAAGCTCGGAGATCCTTGCGCATCCCCCATGTCGTCCAGATTCGAGCCCATGTCACTTTATCTGTCTCCTGCCATGAAAGAATCGATAAGGGAACCAGATTTCATGATGCGAAGAGATGGATTCAGCTGCGGCCAATCTATGCAAAGACTTGCAGATTAATGGCTTACAGGGTGGTCCCAAAAAAAAAGTAACCGAAATCCAACAACCTTTTTTTTTCGGAAAGCAATACAAATTTTTGGAACGCTTCCAGGGTGAGTTGAAAAATGTTACCCAAAGAAAGGTCTTGATTTTGAGAGCCAGATTTTCCAGCAAGATGGAGCTACACCTCACACAGGCCCTGGAAATTTACCGTTATTGAAGTAGATGTTTCCCGGTCGATTGATTTCACGGCGCAGTGAGTTCCCATGCCCAATACGCAGTCCAGATCTGACACTGCCTGATGCGTACTTGTGGGGACTACTGAAAGAGAGGTGTTTTACACTTACACCTTACACTCTTTATGGACCACGCATCGACATCTCTCGTGTTCTTTGTGAGATTACAGAAGAAATCTTACAGGCAATGGTCAATAATTTAATAATTCTCATGGAGTTATGTGTAGAGCGTGGAGGTGAACATGTTGAACACATAATTGTGCCTCAAGTAAATGGTTGCCAATGAGCATTAATTTGTACCCTGCACTCTTTAGCGATTGTCATAAAGCTGTTCGCAACTTTTTTTACTGTGCTATCTAGTGCATATACTATAATGCTACAGGTAAAACACATGTTCATTTTCGGTTACCTTTTTTTTGAACCAACCCATATTTTGGACTCGGAAGGTGACGGGAAAAACGCTCTGAATAGACGGGGGATCTGGTTGAATTAATTTGCAGTAATATCTCGGATATCGTTCCTTTCTTGGCCGTATGGAAGTTATCCATTGACTTGCCTTCGCATGCTGGAATCCCAAGAACCTCCTTTCGGAACCCCATAAGGAAATAGACGTTGACTGACTCGCGAGCAGCTTCGCGATTTGAAACGTTGGGAGATGACCCAAATTCAGGGGATTCTTGTCAGCTGTCCAGAACGGTGCCCTGCCTCGACGAATGAAATAGGGGTGGGTTTGTCCCCGGTCTCATTTTGGGTGGCGTTTCCGGAACACGAAAGATTTTCCCGGCGAAATGTGTCCGCGCCTCCACACTCGGAGGAGCTGACTGTTGCAACTCCAGGACGCCTGTGTCCTGTGTCCCTCTCGCTTTTTGACGGATCTCTCCTTCGTCTCAGTCGGTTTTCCAAGTCTTCCTCCTTGTCAGGGACCCAAGTCCTTCATTTGCCGGAGGAGATTAACCCTAATCAGGTTTGTGTCACGCGAACGATTTTCGACAGAGCACCGGCCGCGAACAAATTGATATATTCAGGTTTTTCGTTAAGGTGTTTCTCTGGAAAAATTTCTCACATCGATGTAAAGTACAAATAACAGTATGTTTCCCTGTAACACTTGGGAATGTCAAAATACGAACCGTAGAGAGGCAGTTTTCACTGCGGAAGTTTCACAGAGAAAACGGAAGCAGTCGGCTTTTCTCATTTATTCATCGGTTCTATTAGAGGGAACGACGAGTCTTAGGCCTGCTAGTATACAGGGGGGTCTCTGTCCGTGGATATGACGTCGAATTAAAAATGATACAAAGCCAGGTTGGGCTGTGCGAATGAGAAAGACGAATAAAAAGTTCCTCTTCCCTGACCTCCCGTCAAGCCATCCCGCGTTCCGAGCGATCCGCGAGATGAACAAATGCAATGCAGAAAGTCGATGGTAAGGGTGACGACAGCTTCGGATGACGAGACAGGCTGTCGTTACTTCCGTGACCCGTTATCGAAAGTACAACATGGCATCTTTTCAGCATTTTCAGGAGCGATCCCTCGCGATGATTAGGAACAGCGGATGGCTCTATCTAATCACGTACAGAAATGTATCACCGGGGAACGCTGACACGGTTCTCACGAGTTTCTCGAGGCTTCCCCTGACGTCGTTCCCTTGTTTTATGAGACGGTTGAAACTTGGCGACCGTCTCGCTGCACTTTCCACCCAATCAAAAAATTTTCACAGGGCCATCGATGGCTTTTCGTCGACGCGTCTATAGGCCGTAGTTGAGCCATCACTGGCATATGATTGCCTTACGGTTGGTTTAAGACGGCTTACGGTCGGGCATGTCCTGTTGGCCCATCATCGGGCCAACTTTGGCTCATTGTTGAGAAACCGCACATGTCCCAACCATAAGCCGACTTTTCGCAACGGTGAAAAGATATAGGGAAAAAACTGACACGAGGCGCATCTTGAGCATTATGCATCTTGGAGAAATTAGAATGCGTCCTTTGACCCCCTCCAGCTCCTTCATCCGGGAGAGATGAAGGAACGATACTTTGCCCGATTACCTTACACAGGTACGCTCCTATCACCACGAGCTGAGCGTATCCCAAGAAACCTTTCCACCACCCTTTCTGGATGTTAAGGCATTCAGAAACGGAATCACATAGGAATGCAAGGGTATCTGTTCTTCCGCAGGAGACCAGGCACTCTTGACAGGTAATAAGCAGGGCCGTTTCTAGGCATATTGGCGCCCAGGGAAAGGTGTTCCAATGCCCCCCCCCCCCCCCCCCCCCCCCCCCCCC